ATTGGATCATACTTTTAGATCTAGAAGAATGGTCCTATCTCAGCAGACAATCATAAAACGGTTGCAAAACTGTTGAGTCTGCTGAACGCAGCCATTGATTAACTCAATCGCCACGATTGCCAATGTGAGAACTAAACACAGAAGAAGAAGAGAGAGGTGACGTTCTGATACGTTAAACTACTGCGCGTTAAGCCCATGGCACATACAAAAACGTAAGGCCGTAAGACATAATCAGTAAGCGAATTGGCCAATCACGATAGAGACCGTAAGGCCAGTAGCGAATCCAATCTTACGATTTCTTTACTGTTTACGTATTACGGCCTTACGTTTTTGTATGTGCCATGGGCTTTACTGCGAGTTGATCAACTACTTGGCATTAATAAGGCCGTAAGCAAATCGGCCAATCACAATCGAGCGTTTTAAAACGCGAGATCGTAATTTTGATTGTGATTGGTCGATTTGCTTGCGATCTTACGATTACGATTAAAATTTTTGTACGTGTGGTGGCCTTTACTGCGAGTTGATCATCGATTAATTTAATCAGAAGTTGGTAAAAGAGTCTCTAAAATCGCTGAAATAACTAAAATCTATCAAACTAAGATTTATAGAGATTTATCGATTTTACCGATTTATTTCTATCAGGGACATCGCAAATAAATGAATATGCTATGTAGTTTATATCCACTTTTTCAGAGGGCAGTAGTGTGCGAGGGCATTTTGCGGTTATATGTACGTACAAGAAAAAGGCTCTCATGTCCTCTCTCGGTTTCTCTCTGCTACAGTACAATCACAGTATATTGGCATCAATCCTTATTATTTTGACATCATAATTCTTACGTTGAAGCACTTTAACATGGCCGTATTGTTCTCCTACTATCTACTTGGACGCGAGAGCCGATAAACAAAGAAGAAAGTTTCTAATAAAAATGATTCGCAATCGTGATAAACTATCTTTTACAAATAACAGGTTTCTGTTACTTTTTTCTTTTAATTAATATTTTCTGTTTTTAATATACAAAATTTTCTTTTTAGAAAGTAGTATAATTGCACTGTATAGATTCGGGATTTAAAAAATTTGTATGTATCATTTTCAATTATTTTCTTTTTTTTTTCAAGTATCAATTATTTTTTCTTTTTCAGAAATAGAAATATTTCATATAAGGGGAGGTGGAATAAGAAACTACATAGAGACGTATACCCAAAGTTAAAAGCAGAAACAAAAATTACATGTCTTATTCCACTTCAAACATATAATTCCAGAGTAAAATTGTTTCAATCTAGATGTCGAATACGGAAGACAAATCGTACTACAGCAAAAATTTCAAAATATTCTATTTTAGAGAGCAAGAATATAGGGCATGATATATGTCATAAAATTCTAAATACAGATATTAAGCTTACAGAATGTTATAGAAACATTAATTTAGATAGTGTTATTCCTGCTTTGTCACCAATAATGGAATTGTTCAAAAACCGGCATAATAAATATAATTATTTTGATAAGTTAAAATGTATAATAGAAAAAGATAGCAAAAAGTATCCACCCTTGAAATTCAAGCATCAAATTCATGTCCATTCGCTACAATCTTTCTTTGGTTTGCTGGTATATGAAAATGTTCCTTTTGAATTATTTGGCACATTAAAAAATCATCAAGTTGTAAAGAAGACAATATCTCGTCTCTTAAAGACAGTTCCAAATAAAATATTAATAACGAGTGCTTTCAAAAGAACTGTACAAAAAACAGTTGCCAGTGGGGCATCACTAGATATGGAACCATTATTCAAGAAGTTGGATGTATGTTTGAAAGTATTTATAAGCAAAATTATAGAAAATTTTGATCTCGTTAAGGACCATTGTCATTTTTTTATCAATTTCATAATTGAATTTTCCAATATTTTCTGCATTATTTTCTTTTCTAGATTTCCAAAATTAATTGGTTACATTCAGTTGATGATACAACAATACAATGGATAATCATACTAAAACTATTACATTGGTTTTTTGCACAATATATCATAAAGATTTTACATAAATATGTGGTCTTGATAGCAGTTAGAAAACGATGGGTTTACATCACAAAAAATGATTGGTGCAATATGCAAAATGAATATATAAAGGAAAAAGAGAAATCTGGTAGTCTTGTGCCATATATGAAGTCAAATACGAAACAAATTACTGGGATATATAAATTTATTCCAAGTTCTTCTGGTTTGAGACCATTATATTTGACAAAGTACATAAAAATCTATTTAATAAACGTTCGTTCAATGTTGTTCCCTTATGCTACAAATAAATATTAATAAAGTGTTTTGTGTGTGTGTGTGTGTGTGTGTGTGTGTGTGTGTGTGTGTGTGTGTGTATACAGGGTGTTAAGTATGTTGCCATACTCAACAGAGCGATTCTTTGGTTTATTTCAAGTAAAAAAGTCCATATAAATGTGTCCTAAACGGCTTAGTTTCCGAAATAAAAAAATTTAAACGTGTAGTAATAATCTGTTTATTTGAAAGAAATACAGCTTGAACTAGTCAAAAACTAGTCAAAAACAGAAAAACAAAAAATAAAAAAACGGGCTTCAGTTCTTCTGATGAAATAAAACAATTAGATGAATTGTTGAAAACCTTGCGATTTTGGTGGACTGAAACAATTTGAATACGTACGTATGTACAAGCTAACTGACCTGCAGCAACATCAGAACTGAAGTCTATTTTTGATTTTTTGACTTTGGTTTTGTCACTTTGTTTACAGTTGTGCGAATGGTAACTCACATGAAGCAAGGCATATTTATGCAGGAAGATATCTCCAATTTATCGTTTCGTCAAACATTGCGAACATTCACCTGTATTTCGGAAACTAAGCCGTTTAGGACACATGTTTATATGGACTTTTTTACTTGAAATAAACCAAAGAATCGCTCTGTTGAATATGGCAACATACTTAACTAACACCCTGTGTATATATATATATATATATATATTTACAATTTTAGGCATGATACTGAAATGAAGTATGATAAAATTGACATTGTTTTAAGATTTCTTCAACAGTTATATATTACGTACTTTAATGAAAATGGGATCCCAACTGTAGAAGGCTGCAAACGTACAATTTATAGTTTTTTAACATCAAGATCTAAGAATCATTTGTATTTTGTTCAATGTGACATTAAAGATGCATTTGGTTCGATATTACAAAGTATAATTTATTGTTTACCACATTTAATATATTTGTTATCAAGTTATTGTATTTTATTAATCTGTTTTAGAAAAATTATATGATATCATTCAGACGTGTTGTCAAGAATTAGAAGGGTATATTGCCGTACGACTTTGTACCCTAAAGAAATCTAAGAAAAAACAAAATAGGATATACAAATATACAGTGCAGATTATATCTAATCACCTGAAAAAATTAATATCCAAAAATATAAATCCAACCATAGAAAAACCCAAATTACTTAAAAAAAAATGGGTCATGGATAAGCTGTCTAAATTAATTTTTCAACAAAAGGTAAAACAAATATACATGAAAGTTGCAATTAATATTAAATAATATTTTTATTATAGATTAAATTAAATGGTCAAATATGTTCATTAAAAAATGGTATACCACAAGGTTTATCAGTATCTTCGATTTTATCTGATATATATTATCAACACATGATTAAAAAAATATTCTCTGAATATACAGACAACGGTCTTTTAATTACATATGTCGATGATATGTTATATTTTACTGAGAGTGAACATCATGCAGCAAAGTAATTTCAGTAATCTTGTTTGTATTATTAGGCATGTATGCGTGCGCGCGCGCATATGCGCATGCACAAAATGAATTATAAAATTTTGTATAACAATTTTTTAGGTTTCTGGAAATAATTAGGAATGGCATACCTGAGTATAGTGTAAAATTCAATTCAGATAAAACACGAACAAACATAGGAATGCCTTACGTACCCGTAAAAATAAAATTTCTAGGGTGGAAAGTACCAACGTTTAATGTCAGATCTCGTAAAATGCTATAACTGTATTGTTAGTGGTTATTCTAAACACTTTCCTTAGTCAACACATAATTCAATCATTTATATTTTACACGTTATTATATTTTAAGTTAAGTATACAATATTAACTTACGAACAGTTAATTTTTCGTTAATTTTTCGTCGATCGCAACATTGTAAAATATGACACTGATGTACGTACGATCTTGAAAGAGAATAAGTAAATGATATTAAAAATAACAATTGCGTTGCTCAGTTATAAATTATTAAGATATAATCGTTCTTCCCCCTGATTTGGTTTTTTTTCCTATGAATCAACTGTACTCCGCGTGTATTAAACATATAATTAATTGGAAATTCCGCGTAAAATTATTTTAAAATCGCCTAAAAAACCGTTTTAAAAACCTTCGATTATATATATATTTATATACTATATGTATATAACCAAAGGTTTAAAACAGTTTTTTAGATGATTTTAAGATAATATTCTTGTATATACATGTGTGTGTATCAATATTTTATACACATTATATATATGTATATATAATTAAAATATGTCTTACCGTAGAGAAAGTATCCATGGATATGACAAACATTTTTCCTGCTGTTAATACACAAGGTTCTCGTGTTTTCATTAGCATAAAAATTAAAATTTTCCTTGTTCGAGATGAAGTTTGATACCATGCTATATTCATTCTGCAAACAAAATATATTTTGTGTTATTTTTAGAGCATATTGAAAGTTAATTTTTAGTTAGCAGAATTTTTTTTTTTTAGTTTGAAAATAAGCACGGATTGATCGTTTTATCAAATAAGTGTTTTATCAAGAGTTTTACCAAATTTACAAAATTCTCTCTATTGCTTTATAATAATAAGTTTGCTTTTACAGTGACCGGCAAAAATAAAAAACCACCTTATTTATAAAACTAGTTTGCTTCATAAAGTATAAAAAAATATTTATATTATAGATTTTTTGTACTAAAATTGAAAATATATTCAATTAATTAAACATTTTTAATTAAAAAAAGAATCAATTTTTTATTTAATGTATAATGCTATGTTGATTTCTAAAAGATTACATATTTAAGTGTGACAAAATAAAAAAGCCAGTTAACGTAATATAGTATTTTAATTTTAGAAAAGCAATATAATTTTAATTAATAATTAATATGACTTCCTTTAGCCTCAATAACTTTTTGAAGACTCTTTGATATACTTTCAATTAAATTTTTCAAATGTGAATCCAGATTCTCCCATGCCAGTTGTAATGTTTCAAAATAGGAGTTCTTGTTAGTTATTCCGCATTTGTCAACCCTATTATCCAGAATTGCTCACAGATTTTCAATAGGGTTTAAATCTGGAGACTGCGGAGGCCATTCGAGTTGTTTGATGCGACAGAAACGAAAAAAAGCTTGACTTTTCTTTGCTGTGTTTCGGGTCATTATTTTGTTGAAAAATAAAATTATTATCTAATTCGATCTTCAGCAAAGACTCTTCCAAATTTTCATTAATTACGTCAATATAAACATCTGCCGTCATAATCTCATCAATTTTGACGAGATTTCTTACTCCTACCCATGAGAAACACCCCCAGACCATGATATTTCCTTCACCATGTTTTACAGTTTTCTGAATATGTCGATCTTGAAGCACTTCTCCATGTTTTCTTCGGACTCTAATTCGCTTCTTTTGCCCAAATAACTTGAATTTACTTTCATCTGTCCATAAAACCTTTTTTCAGAAATTTAATGACATATTTGCGTACTTTCGAGCAAATTGCAAACGTTTTTTCTTATTAATAACTCTGATAAAAGGTCGTTTACGTGCGAACCGGATGTGTAAATTTGCTTCACGAAGTCTGCAACGTACCGTGCGGTCAGAAACATGAAGATTCATGTTTTCCTGAATTTCTCTGACAATAATCATTGCATTCTTCTTAACTTCTCGGACTATTTTTGTATCCTCCCGTTTGGAGTTTGGACATTACTCGTTTTCGGCCTCTTTCGCTTCTATCTGCCACCGATCCAGTTGATTGGAACTTCTTATTGATTTGTTCTACTGCTCCTCTACTTACTCCGTAGTTTTTAGCAAAGTTCTGTTGAGAAAGACCTTTTTTAATATCCCGCACAATTAGATTTCGGACCTGTATCGAAATTGATTTTCCTCCCATTTTTAATGTAATAAATTCTCGAACTTCGGACAATAACCGAAACAAGCTGATGTCGGAAACAAATGAATGCAACGACGTGAACTGAGCGTAATAACGCGAACATGACAAACTTCAAGACAACGATATAATCACAAAGTATATATATATATATATACTATATATATTATACGAAACAGATGTTAGTGGCTTTTTTATTTTGTCAATTTAAGAAATAGCAATATTTAAGAAATATAAATATACTTGAAAGATAAAGAATAATTTATGTGACTTTTTAGATAAAACCTCGAAATAAATTATAAATGCTTCCTATTTCATCAATAAAAGCAGCATTGTTTTAATATTTTTATTATTATATAAAACGAAACAGGATAACTGAGGAGATGGCTTTTTATTTTTGCCGGTCACTGTATACAATGTATACATATATCTATATTATTAATGTGTTAGATATGTGTTCTACAAAAGTACATTTAAGATTTTCTAAAATATAAAAATGAATTTATACATACAAACTAGTATGAATATATGTGCTATGGTCAATTAGACGTTGCGCTTGAAAACTCTCAAAAAATAGATGCACTAACAATGCGCATGAAAATGTTATTTGCCTTAAAAACTCTTCTGGTTTGTCCATATTCGAAACTGCCTGAAAAGATTTAATATTATAATTATAAAAGAACAATTATATAAATAAAATTTTGATTTTAGATCTATTTAATCTTTTTATAATTAATATTACTAAATTAGTCATTAAAGTGCTTTCATTTTTTAATAACATTAAGGTGGATAATAAAGCAGTTAATTTTACACATTAATAATTCAATAAATGCAATAACATTATTATAAGACGAATGATTAAGTTGATGTACCGTAACACCTGTCATACTTATAATAACCATATTGAAACCCGCTACCACAAGGAACATTTGGCTAAATACTGCTTCAATGAGACTGGCAAATCTTCATGCGCGAATTAAAACATAATATTTTAGTTAAAACGTATTTATATACGTGTATTTATCTAGGAATATACATCATATATATAATTATATGAGTACAACGAATATACAATATTGCTTAAGTATAATATATACATTAATGTATTATTATATATAAATTCAATGTAAATAATTTATTATATAAAAATAAATAACTATGTACAGATATATATGTGATAGTAAAATAAATTACATAATATCTATTGTAATAATAATATATTCTCTATATCACAGCACCTTAAAGCTCTCTTGTGTGCATGAATGCTGCTTACAATATTTTCATACGGCTTATCCTCTTTTATAGATGGATTAAAATTTATTTCTAGATTATCCTTTTTTATTACATTTTCCAGTTGTTGCCTGATGCAATCGATATACAAGTTTCAAAACTATAACTTATTAATATAAACTCTCAACTGTTTAACCATATTTTAAAAATCATATGAACAAAATGAGTATGTTATAAGTTATATTATCTTACCCAATAATCATAAATAGTCCGCAAACATGCTGTACTACTATTACATACATTGTATCTGCTGCGATGGCTATGCTTACACAAATGACAGCTGTAATGTATCCGTGAATTAAGATTGGTAAGTAGTATTTTTCCATATCGATATAATACTCAACTTGATGTAATAATAATCGAGTTGTATCATTTGAAGAAGAATCCAATAACAGTGATTGCAATGGTACTAACATAAATAACACCAATGCAGAATAAAAAGCACCTAAAGATTCGAGTATTCTTAATCATTTTTATCAGTCTTTATTCATAATGTCTGTTACAAAATAAAGTCATTGATTTAAATTTTTACTATAGAACTTAAAATATATTTTACTGTAATAAAGAAACATGATGTGTATACTGTTACTATATAATCGCTATCAAAAAATAATTTTTTAGAAGGAACTTGAAAAAATCTTTCGTAGAGGATTTTGTTTTTTGTACACGCATCATATTATGCTTACTCGCGTATATGATCGTAAATGTCCGTCCATTTTGTGCGTAATTATCAAGAATCTTAATTTGTGAAGATGTTATTAATAGTTGCCAATCGTATTGTATTTGATCGAAAAGTGTCTTTATCTGTAATTAAATTTTATCTTAAAGAAATTTAAAATTTTTATTGTAGCTAAGACATCGTAATTTTTAATTGCTAAATTATTGTATAATAATAATAATAATAATTATCTAATTGTATAAGTAAGTTAGCTCTTCCTCGGATATTTCATAAATTTTAGGAAGAGCCATATGCCTGCAAGCGGATGTATGTCGAACATATTTTAGAATTTAAATATATATCGCACCGTGTTTACATACCTCTGTTGCTTTTAATACGCAAGTGATTAATTTTACTCCACATCCTATATCGACTACCAATGGTGAAAGAGAATCGATGAACAAATCAATGTTATCAATGGAGAATAAACCACATATCTATGCTTGCACCGTGAAATTATAAATACGAAGCATACATAGCATTTTATATTGTTTTTAAATTATACAATATACAATATATAAAATATAATGGAATACAGAACAAATATAGTCATTCAATAAATAATTTTTTCCGGACAACGTTACAAAATGCGGACATAAGACGTCTTGAAGATGTTAAGACATTATATTATAAGACGTCTTAGAGCAATCTTTAAGATGTCTTCGAGACGTCTTATGTCCGCATTTTGAACATGCTGTTGTCTGGGTTTGTTTCTATAAAAAAAAAATTGATAAAATTCTCTTTATCAACAAACAGTCGTTAAGTTTACGATATACAATCATATGAAACTTAACCGCGTTGCATTGTCATACCTTGGCGATAAATTGCGTGCCAGCTAAAGACACTATAATGATAATAATAGCATTGCTACTTCTGTTCGTTTGATATGGCCATTGTCCAACACACGACAGGAGGATTTTATTGATCCTGTAATTCCGTCCTTCGAAGAACTGCATTTCACGCTTATCAATAGAACTGTAGAAGAAGAATATGTTCAGAGAGAACTGCAGGGAGCTTTCATCATTTCATCTTTTTGCATGCACCATTGCCTTTAATAATTCTCTCTGTGAGCGTTTCAGCACCATCGTAAAATTATTTTAATTGCTCGCTTATAGTCGCCGTTTAATCGTCAGACTGTCGACAACTACACAAGTTGCATGTCTCTTGAGTCTATAAGCTTTTACTTTGAAATACTTGCCATTGTTCCACGTGACCTCAAGCTTTCTACAGGTATAAAACATATCGAATATCATATCTTTTAATTACAAGATATGGTGTTCGATCTTATTCTTAAATAAGTTTTCCTCTGTAACAATTTTTTTCTTTCACTTAATACAAGTAATGAAAATTCCGTATTTCTTTATATTCTCGAAATTGCTTCTTTAAACTTTTTGAAATGCTTTAATTTATTCTAACGTAAAGAATTGAAATTTAAAATAATTTGTAACGTGCTGTGTGTGTGTGTATTTATATTATATATATATATATATTAGAAATTAAGTAAGAAAATATCTTTGTACAAAAGATAGTGAATTATATGATATAATGGTCTTATAATATAAAAATATTATGAAAATTTTATTGTATTCTTAGTTTTTGATTACAATTGAATTATAATTTTTTGTACTTCAAGTGAGATAAATATATGTTTGATATTTAGCGAAAGTGAGATGAAGGAAAGTTCCAGTGCAATAATAAAGAACAAACTTAATTATTATACTCCAATTGTATAAACAAGATTAAAACATCATCATGGTTAATTGTATTAAACTTGTACTATACTCACATCATAACGCGCGAAACCTGTCACATTCAAGATATAGTCCATTCGAATCATGAAAAAAATCATGATTCTTCCATCATCATGCCATGATTCGAATTATGCGCTTAAAAATTTTGGAAACGGAATAGGATATTCTCTTGTTCATCTCATTCATATGTTAGCTGTTATGTATCTAAGGCCTTTCTAGACACGCGCACTCTTGCAAATGTCCCGTACATTTTAAATGTCACAGCATTAATTTATATAATATTTATATTTTTATTATTTTTTTATTTCACGTGACAGGGACGAAAAAGAAGCGTTTTGTCGTTATTATGCGAATTCCGCGACTTATACCTCAAACGTGACACGTATCATGCGAAGAAGCTTCGCGCGTTATGATGTGAGTATAGCGCAAGATTAATACAATTAACCATGATGATGTTTTAATCTTGTTTATACAAAAATATTATATATTATACATCTCATACATATACAATATATTGAATTGAATATGCAGAAGCAGTTTGATACTTCTACTGAAGACGATTTTTCATCGGATCTTGATCTACCAAATCCAAAGTAATATTTGCTTTAATCATGATCCATTTATATGTTATAAAAACTGTATAATCATTGATTTTGTATCTTCCAAGAGTAACACAATCTTATCGAAAATCGAGACTTGCTTGTGAACTATCAAAAAACAAAAACAACGATCAATCAAATCTCAAATTATCATCAACATCATTACGTCAAGATCCAGTTGTTAATAATCGATTCACTGAAACAAAATTATGTAAGTGATGTAAGTGTTAATAAAATCTAAATATACAAGTTTTAAATATTTAATAAAAAGAGGATATAAGAAAAAGATAAAATGATATTTAATAAAAATGTTTTGTATAAAACAATTTTGACAAAATTATTCAAATTTTTTACTTGTCATACATTTTTTACATACATATTTTGTGGAGATAAATTTTAGTTACTAGAGAAGTCGACCATATTGCTACACCACAACGTATCTCAAATATTGAATCTTCTGCATCATATGTCTGTCTGAAAAAATATGAGGTAAAGTATGAGGCATAATATGAAATTATTACAAATTATAGAATACTTTGGATTAATTTTTTTTGTACCAAAAGTATATTGATATTAGGCATGTTGTCATTTGTAATTGTCAATTAATAATATCTAATTTTAATCATCTAGAATGTAATATATTTTTAATGCATTTAAATTTATAAAAATCCAACGTTTAGCGTCTTATAAAGAAATCCTGGATTAGTATAAATTCATTCTCTGATATTAATTAAGGTCTGAATTTAAAGATATATTATTATTTTTGGTGGACGAATGTTTCGCGTAGCCACAAGGGATAACTGCCAAAGAAAAGCAGTCGAGCGATGGTGAAAAATTTGCACGGAAAAATAAATTTAACGAAAAAATTTGGTAATTCGAAAAGTTAAATCAATTATATATTTTTATTCATAGTTGTTTTAATGTTTTGAGGCACAAGTCGTTTTAATATTGTACTTATCGCCTATTTTGTTGATAACAGGAAGCAAAGCAGTACACCACGGATTGTAAGGGCTATTCGACAGAACGGCAAGAAACGTAAGTTAATTGTTAAAGCTAGATTTCTTTAGAGATCAATTTAGATAGGGAGAGATGAGAGTGAGCGAGAACGAGAGAGAGAGAGATTATGAAGTTTTTAAATCCATCCAAAAGTAAATTGATTGATAATGATAATATCCTACGCACAGGCAACAGTAAAAGCAGCGTTATTGTGCTTTATCACGGTAGATTTAATATTCCGCCATCATCTTCTTCAAATGCTCTCGTGCAACTTTCAAGATCCAATCAAATAGTAAAAACTTCGCACGTATCGCCATCGGAAGTTGTAAATTCTGCATCACCCGATAAGTAAGTAAATGAGTGATATCAATACAGTGGAAAACATTTTTTTTAATTTTGGCTAAAAAAAACAGACGGAAATATTTAACTAATATAAGTTAATTTTACTCGAAAAATATGTTTAAAAAGGGCAAAAATCATAGAAACTCCGGAAAGTCTGTCTCCAAGATATTCACTACGTCGACGAAAAAATACTTCCAAAAGACATCATACATCAAGGCAACAGCCTTTTTTGAATGTAAACATTTATCACGCGAATCGAGTAGATCGATTTGTATCTCCGCTACAAAATAAGTGGACATTACTTAAAAGACAGATAAAAATAAATTCCAAGTATAAGGATTTGAAGTGCACAGCCAAGCTTTCCAAAGATTCTGTCAGGCCGCAATCAAGAACACTTACTTGTCATATCAGCGAACAACACGCAACAAATCAAAGATCACGTAAATGTATCACACAAGAAAGAACTCGGAAAAAGGAATGCTCGCTCGTTGAAGTCGTCACTTCGAAATCTATGGACTGTCATCTAGAGTAAATAATTTGGAGAGTAGATAAATAACAGAATCAGATAGTAGAAATAATATATAAATATAATATGACTTTGTAGGAAAGCAGAGAATACAAAAGGTAGAAAGCAATCAGCACTTTGTACAAATCTAGGCTTGCCGATGAAGCAGATAGAAATTTATCCCAAAGAAACGAGCATTAAATCAGCATTCATCGTGAATGAGAATAACGAAACGGATAGTCGTGTGTTTCCCTTCCAAGCTACACCCAGTGGTAACCTCAAAATCATTCCGAATCAGGTAAGAAAGATTTCGTTTTAACAAATGTTATAATGAAACCGTTTCAGAAATATCGGTCTCGAAGCAGACATAGCATAGTCGTTCTAGGTTGTATTCGAGTCGAAGAAGTTTAGCGTTTTAGCTGCTGATCCGCGACACACGAAAGTCAACGTCAAGGCTGAGCTTAATCGACCGGGTAATAACATTGGCACATCCCTTTTCGACTCTCCGAATCGAACAAGATATACCGATCTCCTGCCTGGCATCACACCGTCGACAATTGATCAGTTACAGGTGATACTCAAAGTCTTTATTGTTTTGATATCGTCTAAAATATTACTTGGTCGACAACAGGTACAGAAAAAATTATCGCATATCGAAGGAAGTTATAGATCACGAGCGCAATCAAGTACAAAGTTTTATTCATCAGAAATGGAACAAAACCATTCGGTACAATCAACATCTCATCAACTTCCTCCAATGAACGAAGTACCACTTGCCTCGTTAGTTTTCTTAAATTTGACGATTGCAAAAATTGACACATTTATACCCATACAGCACAGATCAATTTAGCAATATTACAGTAACATTGCATAAAGTTGTAACAAGTGGGTATGCTGTGTGGGTACACTGCTGATTCTACAATGAACCAGTAGATTCTACAATGAACCGAAAATCTTAAGTCTTAACCGGTTTTAACCTAAATAGGTGACTATGATTTTTCGCATCTATTAGTTGTTAATTGTACAGCGAGTCGTTTAGCTCGATTAATGGGAAGGAATAAAGTCGAATTTGGTCAGTCTTAAGAAAATCGGTACTCTTAGTCATACAAGTTGGCTGTTGGCCAACTTCACCGATAAGACAAGGTCCTGTTGCACCAACATTATTTTGACTTTATAAATGAGGCTTAAAACTCTCTTTATCTCTTCCTCTCTTTCAACTTTAAAGAGAGAAAATGAGAGTTTTAAGCCTCGCTTAAATTCAAAGTAACGTTGCGTGCAATCGGGCCTTATTAGGGTGATATTTTATTTGTGCGTTTTTGTTGTACGACAAATTTTTCAAGCCTGTTGATTGGCTATGAAATAGAGAGATCCGAGGACCTCTCTGTTCTGTACACATTTGTCGTACGATGAAAACGCACAAATGAAATAGTACCCTAAGTACCATAACGTTTTCGTCATATGACAAATGTGTACAGGACAGAGAGATCCCCCCTTGGATCTCTCTATCTTGTAGCAAATCAACAGGTTTGAAAAATTTATCGTACGACAAAAACGTACAAATGAAAGCGGCCTTAAGACCACCGACTTAAGACTATCGACTCATTGTAGAATCAGTTTACAATTTTGAAAATTAAGGTTTTCTTTATTCTAACACTTTACTATTTTCTTTCTTGGAAAACAGATTGGGATTTACGAATGAACAACCAATTGATTGGAATAATATAATTCTTCCAGAAAAGAGTGATTTGTATCAAGAATTAGCTATACGCATCACAAACTATAAGTAAGAAAAAAGAGAGAATTTTAAATGAAGCTCCTTGTGTATCATATCGCAAACGTTGAATGTTTTAAATAAATAAATAACTTATAATTTGATTTAATAGAGAACAATTTAAATTGTACATATTTCATTAGCACCAGTTTAAAAACTAAATTGTATTAAAACAAATATTTCTTTATTTGTTCCGCCAAGAAATGCTGATTGTGTCATTCGAATTGATCACGATGAATTTCACTGCCATCTCCTTGTTCTGCAAAGTTACAGCACATTTTTCGATGAGAAAAATTGCAAGAATATTGATTTATCTGGTGTAAGATCTAAATTGCATTCAATTAGACATTACATATATAAAAAACATTTTTTTAAATTGGCTATTTTAAATTTTGGAAAATCTTCATATATAAAAGCAATTTTATATAAATATCTTCATATTAAAATAAGAAGTAATAAAATTAACTTAAAATTTTAAAAATATAATTTATTATATGCACGAAATGTAGAATAGTGTGACTTCCAAGGCCTTTTCTATTCTTTATGACTGGATGATAAGTCCAATCAACGAAAGTTGTCAGCTTTTACGAAGAGATAATATATTAGAAATTTTCATGGCTGCACAGTATCTGGGTATCAAAGGTGCGAATTTATCTCATATTTTAAATTTTTAATGTAAAATAGAATGAATTTTTGCTCTTTAAATGTAGAAATAAATTATTTTAACTAAACATTCATATGTAATCTAAAAAATATAATAAAACAGATTTCTTATTAAAAACATATACATTGTATTTTATAAAGAATTAGAAGAGCAATGTTGGGCATTCATTGACAATGACGAGCTCTTCTCCGAAGATACCGCTTTTTTATTATATTTGGATGCAAAGAAAATCGGGAATACTGCAGTAATGGAACTGATGGTGCCGAGAATTATGAAATTTTTCTTGATGCTTGTTAGCACAAAGGATTTTTTGGAATTGTCAGTGGACGAATTATGTTTACTACTGAAATCTAATTATATTTGCGTCAATAGGTATAATCGATGTCTATAGTATCTCATATATTTGATGACTTTTCGTCAAATATATTTTATATATAAGAAAATTATATATATATTTATACCTATATATAATATACTTATACAATCCAATTATTTTTAAAATGTTGAACTTTAAAATTTTATTTCTTGATGAGAAATTATTTATAAAAAAAATTACATAATAGATAATATAAATTTTATAATAATAAATAATATATCAAAAATCTTTTTTCGTCTTGTAGCGAAATGGAAGTTTTAATGTCTGCCGTAAGATGGTTAATGTATGATTGGAATGAAAGGAAGCGATACATGCTAGAAGTACTTAAATGTGTTAGATTTGGACTTATAGCTCCGTGGCAATTAGTAGACGTCAAAAGAAATCCTGAAAATCCTGAATTTATGGAATTAATATCTTATCCTGAAGTACAAAAAATGGTGGATGATGGCCTTGCGTATGAATTCTATTTTCAATTTAAAAAGTTTTAATTATCAATTCATGTATAAAATGTGAAATTAATATACAAGTAAACTATATATAATTAATATGGAAATTTACAGATTTGTTATTATAAAATATTGGTATGGTAATCAAACTGAAGACTACTATCATTGGATCGATTTACTTGGACTTAGCGAACCAACTAATCGTAACTGGGCAGGAGAAGACAAAGTAATTTAACTTTTATTAGACAAGTATCATATTTCATTTAATATGTGTACCACCTACACTATTCTTCGACAGTTACTTTTTACAAATTATATTTAAAATAGCCAACAACATAAAACAATTTATTGTCTGTGTTAATGTACTTCTTGCTTCAGAACTATGTAACATATCGTGAATTTCTGTTATATCTTGAAGAGTATCAAAAAACAAACATCTCAGATCTAAAAACAAGAAAGATTCAAACAAAACCTACCCCTCCTAATTCTCCTCCTAAAGATAGCTCACTATTATCTCTAGAGAGAATACGTGCCGATTGTAATAAAAATCGTTGCTGTATAGATTCACATCTTTTAGGTATAAATTATTACAAATGTATTAATATTATAATAACAGTAATGTTACATATAAAGTAAGTGACTGATAATATTACTATAAAGTTTGTAACTGATAACAGTAAATATATAATATTTTGCAATTATAGATAATTTTTTATATTTTTATAAATTCTTAGGGCAAGTCTTTTTTCTCTTAAAAAAAAATTTAATAATTTAGAAATTTATATAAACTTATACTATTTGATACTCTCTCTTTCATCGAGGTATATTTATTCTATACTTATTTTTAGAACAATACAACACAATGCAAACTCAAGAACCGAAAAAATATGTATCAAAAATTACAACTTCATCGGGCATGATAATGTCACCTGAAATTCTAACTAATTGTCTCAGCAATATGGGCAAAAATAATACGAGAGCGGTGAGAAAGAGTTTCAATATGATCATTTAATTTTAAATTATAAATCTAAAAAATTCTATCATAAACAAAGATATTTGTCAATATATGTAAATCAATGTTTATAATTATATAAATATTGGTTATATAATTTTGCAAATTAATTTTTATATGAAAAGAATATTTAATAGATATTTTTACTAAAAAAATAAGAATGTCAATATAATTACAGTAATTCATAATTAAGTATCTTTATACAGGGTACGAGGGACTAACTGTTACTAAGAAAAAACGCTACAACTCTGACAATTATTGATATTTTTATTTGAAATTTTCAGGAAAAAGTTGAAAAATGATTTTATTTTATTAAACAAAAGTTATTGTTCGATGATACCACCTTTGGCCTTGATGATGACGTTAAGTCTGTTGATGAACACATCGCACGCTGCACGAAAGTGGGACTACGAGATTAGCTGCCATACTCGGCGAAGACATGTTTTGAGCGCATCCAAACTTCGATGTTTTTAGAGGTGTATTTTGCAGACCAAGGTGTCCTCTAAAAAACACCAAAGTTTGGACGCGCTCAAAACATGTTTTCGCCAAGAATAGCAGCTAATCCCGCAATCCCACTTTCGTGTAGCGTACGATGCGTTCAGCAGATTTAACACCATCATCAAAGCTAAAGGTAGTATTATCGAATAATGAGTTTAGTTTAGTGAAATAAAATAATTTTTCAATTTTTTCCTGAAAATTTCAAATAGAAATATCAATATAATTGTCAGAATTGTGGCGTTTTTTCTTATAATAACAGTTAGTCCCTCGTACCCTGTACACATTGGAATAATACTGTATCATTTTTATTCATAGAACAAAACGCAGTACGACGGAAATAAAAATAATAAACCTATCATTCGTGATACAAAATATTGCGAGGCAAGTGAATTACCCAGAAAATCTTTGGATCTTTTAAAGAATACAAAATCTGCGTATGAACATCGTCAGCATGAGATTTCGACGGTATAAATATTTCTTTGGATCTTATTGTAAAAATATAAAGATTTAAGGAATAAAGAAAAAAAACAAAGAGTAAAAAAGAAGAAATTAGAATTTTATCTTTTATCAAAAAATTTTTAAAGGCAATAATATATGCTAAATATATACAATACACAATACGAAACAGTTCTAGTAAGTATAGTTTTTTATAAGAAATATTTTAAAATACTCTGCAATATTGCAGCAATGAATCCATATAACAAGCTAACATACGTATTTATCATCATTTTGATGTCAAAATACACGTTAGACGACAAATAACATTTGCTCCTGAGTTGTAACGTTGCTGCAATGTTACTGAAATGTTCAAAAATGTTTCTTGCTTATTAGGGTCGATATATTAAAAGTGCATTGAACTTGATGTATTAAGTATTCGAGGATTAATTCAAAGACTTATGCTTTATTTTTATTCTTGAGTCTTTCATTACGTCCAGTATTTTACATTGTGTACTTTACTGTTATTGCATGCGACAAAAGTGGAGTGACTTTTAATGCATGTAACATTTATTTAATGTAATATATAGAGGAATATATATGGAAAAGTGCAATAGAAGATATATTAAGTAATAAAGTGTTATAATTGTAATTACATACAACTGCATGTATGCAAAATGACTTTATTTTTGCAACAATATATATGTATATGTATGTTTAAATTGCATGTAAAATGTTTATAGGTTATTGATAAATCAAGATACGAAAACCGGCAAGAAAGAAATTACAATCGCAAGCATTGGGAACAAAATGTTATATTTCCCATCAAGAAACAACAGAATAAAATAATGAAAAAATCAAGATGTATGGAAGATCATGTCGATTCAGCTAAATCTGAAGAAGAAGCAGCTACTATGATACAAGCTACGTATAGAGGATATAAAGTTAGAAGAAAATTTGATGAAGTTAGTAAATACGTATATTAATTAACCATCACGATTTGTGTATGCCTTGAGTATAGAAGGAAAAAGTTCTTTAGATATTCTTATTGTTAGATAACAATTTCTTTCTTAAATATAAATAATAATAAATTATACTAATTCTAGATTTAAAATAGTTATATATATATATGTATATAAAGGTGGTAATATTTGATTAAGCTATGTTATTAAAGTTTATACGAATGATATAATTCCAAAAATAAATATGTCATAACTTGCATTAATTTTTAAGAGATATATTTGTGTCTTTTACATTCTTTTTTTTCTTTCCTTTTTAAATTTCATTGAAGAAATATTCTATTATACATAAAAGTTCGAAATAATTACTATAATTATAATAATAGTTGATTATTTTGTAATATTATAGATTAAGAAATCGTCTTTGGAAGGAAAACAAAATGCTCAAAAAGTGGCTGAGCTGTTATCTATGTCAACGAGTCAATGTGGATGGTCACTTCCAAAATCATTAAATCCAGTCAACGTATCCAACAATATTACAAATCATACTAAAAACACACTACACTATATGTGAAGAAAATGCAATTTAGTTGCAATTTAGGTGAAATGTAATAAATTTTTAGTAATAAATATATATATATATATAAAATAATTCTCTCTCTCTCTCTCTCTCTCTCTCTCTCTCTCTCTCTTTGTGTAAATAAAAGATACATTTTCT